GGACCAGAGACAGCTTAGAGCCTTCTCTGATATATATCTAGGCAGCTGTGGCAATGGGACAGGGGAACTGAGTAGCCTCAAAAAGTGGCTGGCTGAAGGGATGGAGCCCAGAGCTGAAGGCCTCAGAAGAGAGGTGACTCCATGTATGGTGACAAGGAGGTCTATGGTGTGCCCAGGAAGTAGGAGCCTGAAGAGAAGTCACTGGAGTGGGAGATCTGGGTATCTACTGCTGCGTGGCAAACCATCTTGAAATTTAGTGACTTAAAACATCAACGTTTAGTTCGCTCATGAATCTATTACTTGGGCAGTGCTTGTCATGGATAGCTTGTCTCTGCTCCTCTCAGTGTCAGCTGGGCAGCTTGAAGGGCAACACTACGTGGCATTGACTAAGATGGCTCAAAGGCCCAGGGTTGGGATCATTTGAAGGCTCATGCTTTCACCTACCTGGGGGCTGGCACTGGCTGTCAGCTGAGACATTAGCTGGAGCTGTTGGCTGGAACTCTTGGCCTCTTCATGTGGCCTGGGCTTCCTTACTACATGGTGGCTAGGTTCCAAGGTTGACTGTCCCAAGAGAGAAAGAGTCAGATGGGTCCCATATCACCTTTTATGACCTAAACTAGGAAGTCAGGAGCATCGCTTTGGCTACATTCTATTCATAGAGGCAGGCACAAAGGCCCTGCCACGTTCAAGTGGAGGGGAAACAGACTTCTCCTCTTAAAGGAGGCTAGTGGCAAGGTTGTGGAACCAGAGTATGTGGGACCAGAAGTATTGCTGTGGCCATTTTTGGAAAATACAATGTGCCACAGAGCCCATGGAGTGAGAAGCCAAGGTCTTTTCTGTTCCCAGGAGAGGAGATGAAGAAGTTAGGCCAAATTCAAATTCCTTCAATTTGTTCATGCAACTAATATTTATTGAGCACCTACTATGTTCCAGACTCTGTTTTATTTGCTGAGGATACAAGATGGACAAAAATCCCAGTTCTTATGGAGATTACATGGTAGTGGGGAAGATTGACAATAAACAAACAAGCGCTTATTATGTCAGGTGATGTTAAGTGCTATGCATGAATGATGGTCAGCAACAGAGTGCACAGAAAGAAGGCTAGAAAGTAGAGTAGCTTGGGCCTCTCAAGATTCTGGATTTTTGGATTTTCTCCCTGGGGTGGAGGGGGCAAGGTCTGTAAACTGCAGGGAGGAGCCGGAGGGTTTGGCCATTCCTTCGAGTGCTGTATCCCAGGCACCTAGCTTCTAGGGCTGGATAAACTTCCCCAGGGTGTAAGAAGAAGGGTCCCTGGGGTCTGAGTCTTTGCTCAAAGGCACTAGCTAGTTAGTAGCAGTGCAGGAACCAGGCCCACAAAACAGGGGTCACGTTTGATCCATTATCC